TTGAATCAGTGGGCTGTGTGCAGGGACCCCTCTCCCAGAACAAAACCCTGCCATGCCCCTTTCACAGAAAAGGAAGCACTTGTCCACACTGACACAGTCTGCCGCCTCTGTGTCCCTCCCTGCCTGCTTTACCACTGTGTTGGAGCAGACCCCACTTACTCTGAAAACAAGTGGTCCACCATCAGTGGCCATCAGACTCCAGATAGTTGCTTTCAAAATGATCGTTCACATCAGTGAACTCATCATTTCTCATTATCCTCCCTGTAGGTTTCTCCTTTTTTGGGTACTGAGGCTTGAACCCAGGGATGTTTTACCACCGAGCTACATTCCAGACCTTTCTGTTTTTAATTTTGACACAGGTCTCACTAAATTGCTGAGGCTGGCCTTGAACTTGTAATCCTTCTGCCTTAGCCTCCCAAGTCTCTAGGATTACAAGTCTACATTACTGTGCCTGGCAAGAGGAGTATTACTGATAGGAACTTCATTTATAATTAACAAATTCTTTCTTTGACTATAAAATTGCAGCTAAAATCTCCACTTGGCCTCACCTCCCAAATGGGCTCACCTTCCCTTTTGCTGAGACTGTGAATGGCTAGGAGGGAGTCAGGGGGGAGACATCACCCCAGTCCTCTTTTCACTGAGCAGAGAGCTAGAAAGGCCCAGACTACCTCCTGCCAACCTGCCCTTCCCCACACCCAGCGAAAGGCTGGAGCTTCAGGACTGCAGATCCACCCTCATGGGCGACTCCAAATCACTGGGGGTGCTGAACTGGTTGTTTGTTGCTTTCTTTTTTCATTTTTAATAACCACAGTGGGCTTAAGGGGGAGTTCTAGTCTTTTCTGTGTTAGAGATTGCTTTTCTGCTGGGGTGGTTTAAGCACCTCTCAGCTTTCTCAGTTTTGACGTGACATCCATATCCTGTGGGGACAGTGATAGGTTTGCTCCAATTACACAATATTAAGTGGAGGAAGTAACAATAAAACTCATCTGTCCAGTCCACAAATGTTTCTTAAACCCTACTATGTGCAATAAATCTTTAGGCCCGAGACAAAGACCACCATAGGAACAAAGGAACTTCTGATCTTTGGCTCATGGCCTGACAGCAGCCCCGGGGGGCTTGGTGTGTGTCACCCTCAACCAATGTCAACTTTGCATTGTTGATTTCGGGATACCCTGGGTATGTGCTTATAGACAGTTGCAGTGACTTATCTTTTAGCCCAGGGAAAAATGCTTGAGTTGAGCACAATGAGTATTCCTGCCCCTGCAACTAACCAAGAAAACAGGATCCTCCTTCCGCCCGGGGACCTGGCCTGATGTCTTTTTGTCAGAGCTGGCTCCTTTCCTAAATGGAAGCCCCAATAAAAGCTTTGCCTACATGTTTGCTCGCCTGGCTTGATTTCATTTCTATGATTACTGAGTCAAATGGTCCCAGGGTCCATCACCAGGCCCAGTGCTGGGAAGTGGGAATGACAGTAGGAGAGACCCAGAAAGAGCACTTAGGTCCAAGTACCATGCACCAAGCTCCCTTGGCTGGGAGGAGGCAGAGCTGGGAATGGAATCAGCTGCCCATGGCTCTTGCCATGAGAGATCACAGCCCTAAGGGTGTTTGGAAACACAGACCTTTCAGAGAGATGTGAAAGGGAGTGATGTGAACAGGGAGTCTTGCTCGAAATCCCTGTTTATAGAGAAACTTCAGCTCAGAGAGGGAAGATGACCTACCTAAAGTCACACAGTCAGTTGGAGGCGGGGCTGGAACCAAAGTCGGCTTTGCTGGCTCCCAGCGTAATAGTCTTTCCAGTCCTTTAGCTGTTGAAATCCTCAGCCCTGCTCCTAACCCTTCCTTCTAGTCCACACCACGCCTGGAGCTCAGGTTCCTGGGTTTGGCAAGAATCATGGGCACTTGGGTGGTGCCAAAGGGTACCTCTGACCCCAAACTCCTCAGTGTGGCTGACCTCAGCTGGCTGCTGCTCCCCTCCAAGGAGCCAAATGATAGCGAGGGTGAGACGTGGCCCTTCCATTGAGCTCATCCTCCCGGGCTCTGGGTCAGTATCTATATGCTCCCTGAGCACTGTGCTGTCCCTCCCTAGGGCTGATCATGTCACATCAGAAGGGCTTGGTCTTGCTTTCGGGCCCCTTCCCAACTTTGCTCCTAGTCTGTGGCCAGGCCAGTTGTCCCACACCCTATAGCAGCCCAAGCCCACCCCCAGCACCTTTTGCCCTACGCAAGCCTCCTGCAGTGTTCCGCTTGGAGACCTGGCTCCACACCATGTAAGCAAAGAAATAAGTTGAAAATGGCCCAAACAGGCACCCGTACAGGATGGCAAAGCACGTCCACTCACGGGCCATACACAGGCGTGAACAGTCTCCCTCTAAAGGTTCAGGAACTATAGGGGACAGATTTGAGCTGACACAGCAGTGAGAGGGCCGCCCCACAGCCACAGCTGTGCCCAAACCTGTGCTTGAGAAAAGGACCCACCAGAATCATTTCTATAACATAACAGCAGCTAAATTAGGAGAGTGAGGGCGCAGTAATTCCCCCCTGCGGCTTCCAAACTTTGCCTAATGCTGTTAAGTTGCTTTTATAATAAGGGCAGCAATAAAACCTGCAGCCTCCTCGGCATTCTCTCTCCTTTAAGAGCCCAGCTAGGCCTGGGCCTTCTCCACCCATCATGGTCACCTGTCACCAGAACACAGATCTCTCTCAGGAAGAGTGGCAGTTGGCGGGTGGCTGCCATGGAGGTGCTCATGCCATCTCTCCCTGGGGGTTGGGACAGTATCTCCTCTGTCTCCTCCTCAACCATGAACATGCATGTACATGTGCACACACACCCCACCTGTCACATACACTTTCCCTCATGCTCTTCACACCTGTACAGTGTGAAGCCCACTCTACAGGCCCCAGAGTGGATCCCTTCCCAACACTGGCTGATTTGTTGGGAACAGAGCTGGATTTTGGCTTAATCCTAAATCCCCTAGATTCAGATATTCAAACAGTCCAAACTACCTGCTTTTGCCTCTGGCACAGGTTCAGAGCGTGATTTAAGTGGCTTAGAATATTTACTGGTAAGAGCTAACAAAACAAAGCCTTTGGTGGGAATGCATGGGTATAAATTCTGGCTCTGCCACTCAGTCCCTCACAGCTCTGTGACCTTCAACAAGTTACTTAGCCTCTCTGTGCCTCAGGTAGAATTCCGAGTTCCTGGTGCTGTTATGAGGATGAAATGACTTAATATTTACAAAGCAGCTAGATGGATTCCCAGAAATTTGAACATGCTATACATAAGCACTCCATTCACTCATTGCTGCTCATTCATTCCCTATTTATTGGGTACCTACTGAGTCCATCAGGCCAAACATCAGGGGCACACAACCCACATCTAGTGGGAACAACATACACACCACAAAAAAGAAAAAGAAAGAAAGGGGGGAAGGGAGAAAGACTTTCTTTTAAGAAAATGTGATCATTTTAAACAGAAATTTGCACACAATTCTAAGAAAGGCCTGAAAAAGAACATTTCTCTATTTCCATGTAAACTTGAAAAAAATACCCACTATTCAATCCTTAGAATCCATTTAAAACATTGGATTCTTATTTGTGAATTTAGACTAAGCCTCCAGACACAGGAGGCTTTGGGAAAATATCCCACTCAATGCCATCTATTCAACCTCCGTGGATGTTTTTCTTCCTACTTCCTTTGACGGTGACCCATCACCTAGAAAATAATCTTGGGTTCAGCCCTCAGGTATTGGGTAGAGGAGGTGATGTGTGTTCAGTGAGACCAACCCTCATTTATTTTAAAAAATAACTTGTAAATATTTGGCTAGGAGAGAAAGCCGGGGAAAGCCTCAGTAACTTATAGTCACAACGGATGAACCCACAGAGGTTGCATTTTTAAATCTTGATGGTTTTAACTCAAACCGCTATGTGAGCAGGTAAACTGCACAGCTGGTTGATAACGATGGAAAAGAAAATTGTCAATCCATAACCCTCCCCCAAATCCACTCAAGTCTTTGGAGTCGCTTTTGAATACCCTGAACTCAGCCGCCGTGATGTCTGTGTTTGTGGCCCAGGCAGTCCACGCTGACCCTGCGGAGTCCTGAGACCCGCGCGAGGCGACCCCGGGTGAGTCCGGTGAGTCGCAAGTGGAGCTGCCCAGCGACTGGGAAGAGGTCCACCCACCCACACGCCCACCTTCTCGGCAGCCAACAGCTTACGTGTCTGCAACCAGCAAGCCCAGCGCTCAGGGATGAGCTCGGCGCCGGCAAGTGGCGGTTGTCACTAGAGCCTAGTCCTTCCCAGGGCTCCACCACTCGCGGACAGCCCCTCGCCGCCCCCGAACTTCATCCAATGGATGCTGCATTCACCGTTTGGCGACTTTCCTAAACTCCCGGCGCCGGAACCGCGAGCCGCACGGCGGGCTGGAGAGCCAGCATTGCGCGCCGGGGCTGCGGTACCCGGCGCATCCGCGCACCGGCTCCATCGGAGGTTGCGATATTAATCAAGGGCTCCAGTCGCGCAGGCGACTATTACCTTGTTGGACTTGGGGGCTTTCGCGGAGGGACCGGTCAGGAAAAAGTGCCCAGGACCAGGACCCGGGGCGGCCAAGAGGGTGCTGGGATGAAGAGGGATACGCACCTCCAGAGCCTCCAGTGCCGGGGCTGGGGTTTGCATGGGAGGAGTGGGAGGTGGAATCAAGCTTTGGCCCCAAAGTCTGCGGCGATCTCGGCACAGAGCGGCTTCCCCGGGTGGGCGGACCCCTCCTCCGCCAACATCCCGGCGCTTCGCCACACGGTTTCTTTTTTCCCCGGAGTTAGTCCTCTACCCACCCAAGCCTGACTGCAAAGGTTCGTGGAGAAGGAGTTAGGCTGCCCCAGCCTCCCTGGACCTGTGCCCTGCTCTCCCCAGCGCCCCTCCCCCACCCCACCCGCAGCCCACGCCTGTCCCGCGCCGGCCGGGGGGCTGGCGGCGTCGGCGATCCAGGCTGACCCGCTCGTTCTCACCTTGACGAGCCGGAGCTGCGGGCGCCGTCCCATCCTCGGATTCGCTCCGTTACCGTCCTGGATGCCTGGGTCCCTCGGACATCCCAGAGGGGCCGCCCGGCGGTTGCAGACTCCGGCGACGCAGAGTGGGCGGCTGGGCTCCTCGGTCGCTACCAGGCACCGAGGTACCGAGCTGAGCGCTCCCCAGCCCAGCAGCCCAGCCCGGCCCGGCCCGGTCCGGCCCGGCGGGCTTTCGTTTGTCCTTCCCGGGCAAGTCCGGCCGCCGTTTTCCGATTCAGCCCCGGCCGGCGTCTCTCGCCAGCCCGGAGCCCGCCTCCCTCGCTGTCCGCCTGCTCCTCGCCTTGGCTCCCCGCCCCCTCGCCGCTCGCGTCCCCTCCTCTTTTCCCTCCCCCTCCCTTCGGTCCCTCCTCCGCGCCTCGCCCCCACCCCCTCCGCCCTCTCCGCCTCTTGGGTTCCCCGCCCTTCCACCGGCTGGCTCCCTGAGCCTTCGCCCGGCTGACCACCTTGCCTTGCACCCCGGTTTGCGGCAGTCGGTGGGGTGTACTGGCAGTGGTGGTGGCCGCCGCACAGGCTGGAGAAGAAGGCGGCGGGAGAAGGAGGCAGCCTCCGGCCTTCTGCCTCCCGCCCGGCTGGAGGTCGGGACTAGGGGAGTCCAAGGGATCTGGGGCGGGGGGGACTGGGAGACTCAGGTGAATTTATGAGAGCAAGGCCATTGGGGATTGGGGGACAGGGCGAGCTCGACTGAGCTAAGCCGCTGCGGAAACCAGATGAACCTGGGAACTGCGTTTGGGCAGTTCCCGCCTTGCAACCGGTCAGAAGGTCACCGCCGCCCCCTGTTAAGCTGAGCAGGGGCGTTGGGCTGGACGCCCAGCACCTTTGGCATTGACACGCCTGGTGCCTACTGAGACATGAGAACTCTGCGGAAGGAGACCTTATTCATTTATTCGTTCGTTCATTTTACAAGCTGAGTACCTGCTCAGTTTGGTCCAGACAAGGGGCAGCCCCTCAAAATAAAGGGAAGATGACCTGCCGTGCAGCACTAGCTGGCACCCGAAAGCTGCCAGGGGGAAGCCGGCGCGCAATGTGCTGCAACGCTGGGAATGCCGCTGAGAATCCAGTCGGCTGGGCGTGGAGGAGGCCACAGCGCCCCCTCTCGGCCGAATCCTCAGGGTAAGGGTCAGCAGTCCCGCCAGATCTTGGGGTCTTCATCTGATTTGGTTCTCTAGCTACCCAGCTCACCCCAGCTCTGAGAAGCAGGTCCTGCCTTCTCCATCCCTTCTAGGTGGATAGAACTTTTGACTCTCTTCTCCCTCTTTCTTCCTGAGCCAGATCTGAAAACGGACAAGAAAGAGGCCCTGGGAAATCTTCATTCTACCCCGCAAAGCGTAGGTCCCAGCAACAATGGCAGCGGCCCCCAGAAAATGTAGAGGCACCTTGGGCGAAGCCTGGTCCCAGAGTGGCGGACAGCTGGTTTTGAAATCAAACAGCCTGGCTGCCCTGGATTCCTCATCTTACCAGGCCCCCGCCTCTTCCCTTCCACCCCCATCTTGGCACTTTGAGCAAGAGCCAGTGCATTCATGGGTCCAAATGATCCTTATTTGGAGCTGGAGATTTTGCAGGCAGTCGTGTTATCCAACACACATTTTACTGGTGAGGAAACTGAGACACACAGAGGTGTGACCTGTCCAAAGCCCCATAGATGATAAGCCTAGTCCTCCCCTTCCTGATTCCCACCTCAAAGTGCTTGGAGGTCTGGGCCCTAAAAGAGTTTGGGGCATTGAAGTGAGAGGTCATTGACCAGGAAGCCAACTGGTCACATTGGCTTAGCCAAATTGATGTCATAATTTAGATGGAGCACATAGTTCTGAGCCTTGCAAAACCCAATTTGCTTAGGGCCCCAGAGCTGGTCAATCAAACCCAGAAGAGACTTACAGACCAACTAAATTGCCAATTTACTATTCGCAATGAAAATTAAGTTCAGGGCAGACAGACACAGTGGCCCATGTCTGTAATCCCAGGACTCTGGAGATGGAGGCAGGAGTATTTCAAGTTCAAGGCCAGCCTGGGCAACTTAGTGAGACCATTCTCAGAATAAAAAATATAAAGGGCTGGGTGTGTGACTCAGTAGTAGATCACCCCTGAGTTCAATTCCAAGAAGCAGAAAAGAAAGAAAGAAGGAAAGGCGGAATGCAGGGTAGTTTGGCATCTGGTTCTGGAGTCAGACAGCATGGGCTTAAGTCTTGATTCTTACACTTACAAGCTTAACCCTGAAAAATTATTTAAATTATTTAGCAGTGCCTCAATGTTCCTATCTATAAAGCGAGCCCAAGAACATCTACCTGCTAGGACATAATGACTTATTTGTAAAGGACTTGGCTCAATGCCTGGCACATGGCAATAGCTTCATGATGGTTAACTGTAGTCGCCTAGCTGTCATCAAGATGGAGTGAACCAGGTGCTCCCGTGTTGGTGGCTTGGTCTCTCTTCTAGGCAATGTTTGTGAGAAGCAAATTTCTCCATTGGAAGGCCCCAGAAGCAGTGGACTGTGGGATTGGAGGAGGCTGGCTGGTCATCAGGGAGGGCTGCCAGTCCTGCGGAGGTCTGTTCCCCACTCACCTTGGAGCATGGGCTCCAGAGATCAGAAAGCTCCAGTTTCTGCACTTTTCTGAGATTCTGGTTCCCTTTGCTTAATAAACACCATTAACTTTTGCCTCTCTGAGCCCATCCTTCTCCCCTTGACATGATCTTTAAATATGCTAATACCATCGATTCTTTGTAATCAAGTCTTGCTCTTCCTGCCTGTTTAGGCTGGGTATAAGACCTTCTCTCTTCCTGAAGTGGCATCTACAGCTAGTACATTCCCCCTGGTATATTATTTCCCTGATTTACCCTCCATCTGCCCCCCAGATGGGGGTAGGGGGCTTCAGCCTCTTTCCGTGACTTACTTATTTATAGTTCTGGCCTTGACAGCTGCAGGGGGGTTAGAAGGAGCTCCTGTTAAACAGCCTTCTGTAAAAGGTTCCATATCCCCTTTCATTTGCCTGGGAAGGGCTTCCTTTCACCTTCAAGAGCCTGGCTCCAATCTGCTCTGCCTACTGAAGATACAGGTGTCTACGCTGGCCCCCCTTCTTGCCCTTGAATGCCCTCCTCCCCTCTCTGCCCAGCCACTCTAGCCCCAGCAGCCTGATGGCTCAGGCTGGTCTCTGTGGGCAGCCTCTCCTCACTGCCCTCAGGACAGACTTCAGCTCCCTTTGAATATTCTTTCCCAGACTGACCTTTCCCAAACTCTCCTCCAATTGATCTCTCTCCTGCCCTCTCCTCTTCCTGCCTAGACCCAGACCGGAATCACCTTTCATTCTTTTAACCTGCCATTTTGGAAGAAAGAGAGATAGGAGGAATCCAAACAGCAATAAAAGCCAATCACATGCCCTTCTGAACAATAGGCAAGACAGATGTGAGACCAAATGATGAAGGGGTCCAGGGAGAAGGACCGCGTCGACGCTTCCCGCTGGAGGGGTTCCGCGGGCCCTGTGAAGATGGACAGTATGGAACAAACAGCATTTCTCAGACCACGGGCAGTAACTACAGGTTCTTTATTTCTAAATTTCTCATCCCTTTCAGCTGATACAACTGCAAAATGCAGGAGGAATGAACTATTAGGAAATGAAATAAAAAATAAAGACATACAGAATAAAAGCCCAGTTTAAAAAACCCGTAGATTCACTGGGCCTAAAACTACTTTATCAGATTACTTTAAAATTTCTAAATGTCCCCTCTCAATTTCTGCACTTACTTCATCACAGATCGACAACAGAATTTGCAGGCAAGTGCCAGGCTGCAGATCATGCCCAGGGTAGCACTGCTCTGGATGTATGAAGCCAGGAAAATGATCCCATGAAGGGAGCAGCTTTTAAAATCCCATGAACCTTGGGGGATATGGTGTTAATTACTCCACTCATTCAATAAACGTTTAATGAGCAGCAACTATGTGCCAGTCACTGTTGGACACCAAGGCTAATAACGATTAATATACCAGGTTCCTAGCCCTCAAGATGTTCACTGCCTGGAATGGGAGAAAACCACTTTGATAAATAATTAAAAGCTAGCAAAATTAGGTCAACTGTGGGCATGGAGGCAGCAATATTAATTCTGCCTGGGGCTCCCAGGGAAGGGTCTATCAAGGAAGTGATGCTTGGGCTGGGGTCTGGAGGTGGAGAGGCAGGTACCTGTTCAATCCCAGAGGGCACCCTGCACTCTGTTAAGTAAATTAAAATATGCCAAGTGCTTAGCCCAGAGCCTGGTACTGAGCAAGGGCTTCCAATGTGTTTGTTAGCTTTATTATTAAATATGATAAATTATTATTGTTGTCATTATTATTACTCACTGAGATATGCCCAGCCCTGCCTTTAACTTTGGCATGGGGCTGTAGGGGTCAGTTGAGAGAAGGGGGTCATCTGGCTTTAATCCCACCCCCTTTGTCAGAGGAAAGACTTTTCTGGAAGAGATAGGATGGGAGTTGGGTATTGAAGGAGATGGATGTGGACAGGGGAAGGTGAGAGAGGGAGACTTTCAAGGTAGGAGGGTCCCTTACAAACACAGCCCGAGGGACAAGGACAGGAGAGGAGACTGGCCCATGGGACAACAGCTGGGGGTACAAGGACTGGGTGGGGCCGGGCACAGCTGCCAGGGAGCAGGATGTGGACCTTCCAGCCTTTGGAGAGGGGACTTGACCTTGTTCGTTCTCTGGTTTTGGACAGATCGTATTGGTGGTTAGGATTTGTGTGGCAGCCTGTACTCCACAGCTCTTTCACAAATATTTTCCCATCTAATCCTTGTAACAACTCCATGATGGAGGTGTTAACAGCCTCGCTTTACAGATGGGGAAGCTGAGTTCAGAGGGCAACCGCTTGCCCAAGGTTACACCACTGGCCTGCACCCAGATGGGATCGCAGCCCCGTTCCGACTCCTACTCCTGATATTTTCCAGCATGCGGTGGAGAGGCGACCTGAGCCTAAACCTCAGGGAGCTGAGCTGTGACTCTGTGACCTAGAGGAGGCCCTGGCTCTGAGATGAATCTTGCCTTCTTTCTCTTCCCAGCAGGTAGGCAAAAGGGAGGAATAGAGGCAAGCCATGGGACAGCAGCTGACAATGACAGCAGGCAAAGGGAAGCCACTCAGCCACAGAGGTGACCTATCAGCCTTTCCTCCACCCCTCCCCAAGTCTGAGTTTGTATCACTCATGGGTGAGAGCACTAAGACCATGTTT